TTCTCCCTCAATCTTTCCCATTCTTCTCCCTCACTCTCCCTCTCAGTCAATATCTCCTTCTCCCTCAGTCTATATCGTTCTCCAGTTGGTGTAAATTTCATAGCCAAGAGTTTCTTGTGAATTTTATCAAATTGGTGTAATAATTTTTTTACTATACCATGTTGGTCCCATGTTCTTTTATACGTTCTAATTAATACCATATAAGTGTGTAAGAAAATTAAAAAAAAATGAGAGAGGGAGCGGAAGAGAAACTGAGGGAGAACGATAGAAATTAAGGGAGAATGAGAGATCGACCGAAAAAGAGAATGGGAGAGATTAGGGAGAACGATGGGTAGAGAGAGAGAGAGAATGAGAGAAATTGATATAGAGAACGTAAATATAGAAACTAAAAAATTTTTTTTTATTTTCTAATCACCCAACATTAAAGGACAATTTTAGTATAAGTTTTTTGTTGTGTCCAATATGAATTAAGAGTCTCATGTTGGTAATAGCCACATAACCCTCTGATGACATGGCGAGGGTTTTTATAATTTAAAATGTAGAGCCTGTTGTTAGAGTTTTGTTGGTTTATCAACCAACTTGTAGCCTAATTTTAAATGTACAACTAGCTCCTACTATTATTTTCTCTAATTTAAAAGAAATCCAAAAGTAATTAATATGAAGAAAATTTTCTTATCTAGATGGTGGGTCAGTGATTCAACTTTTCAAAGAAACTCATGATGTCATAATTGAGTCATAAATATTTAAATTTATTTTTATTCAGATTGTTACCTTTGTTAATTTTCAATTTCTATATTAACTATGATATTTCTAAAACTCAAGTAATTAATATAAAGAAAATTTTCTCATGTGCAACATATGAAGAAAAATTTATATATATAATAGTACTTAATGAGAAACAAAAACACCTTAAGTATAAGATTTAATGAGAATGAATGGGATTTAACACCTTGCATATAGTACTGAGAGGAAATTGAATGAAGTGAAAGATAGTAGTCCAAACTATGTTTTTGCCCTCACAGAGAGGAATAGATTCAAAAGAATGAAGCATTTTAGTCAATAAAATCCACAAATCTTTAAATATAGGATTTAATAAGAAAAATCAATTGAAATAAAAGTAGTAGTTCAAATTATATTTTTGCCATCACAATAAAGAATAACCACATGTTATGGTTTCCCTATTTCCACTTTTCTTTGAGACACCAATGGATGACTAGATTATTGTTTTTCTTTCTTCCTTAATGCATAAACATATTGAAAAATATGTCAAAATTACATTATTTTATGAAATGAAACCTCTGACCTGTTGGTAATGGTGAAATAAGCAGTAGAGGAAACCTGTCCAAAATTAGTGATAAGCGAAAGCAAAGATGCAACCACAGCAGCATATGATTAAGGTGTGGGAAGCACTGTCCTCAAATTAACAAAGAAGACACACACCCTAAAGCTTATCCAAATGCAACATTAGTTAAATGTGTTAGGAAAGGTTATATTTGTTATGCAAAGATTATTATTTCTGACTAAAAAATCTCGCTTTTGTAATGAATTTGATTGAAACTTAAAAGAAAAAGAGCTATTTAGTTCATACAACATTTTGATAGGAAAAAGATTATCCCAAAGGTATTTAAGGGAGCATTCCCTTCACTATAGACAAGAAATTTCTCTATGTGCCAATCCACTCAATGACCCATTAGCATAAATCACCTGGTTCCTGTGGGGCTAAAGCCAGGCTCTTGAGATAAAACATTACTTAGCATGTTACTGATGAAGATAACTGGATAAGTAATTTTAATGATAAGTTTGTTTCAACAATTAACTCACTACAAACCTACCAATCACTGCATAACCAGGGATTGGTTCTAAGTTTTTGAATCTAGAACCTACCTTGTCAATATCAATATCAATTCAATTCCAGGGTCTGTTCTAGGGTTGTGGACCCTAGCCTTTCTTTATCCCCTCCCCCAAAAAATGGAATATGCTATTTAAAAACTTGATTTTAACTAACTAATAATAATAATATAGTTCAAAACTTATCATCATGATATAAATTTTGTAAATATAACCTTTTACATTACTTATCATATATATTCAAATATTAAATAAATAAATTACCTAAATAAATTATTGGTTAAGTGAAATCATGTCTTTGTAATCATGAGTATTCATTCAAATCTTTACATCCTAAAGTATTTTGGGATTTATTTCAAGACAAATTCAATTCCTCCAAGGCCTACCAAGAATAGTTTTCTGGGTCAGTTTGGATTAGATAAATCCTTATGCCCTGTAACCGGTATGGATGGAATCGGTTTCAAGAATTTAAAATCAAACCTTACCCAATAACAAATTAACTAGATAGGATTAATTCAAGGCCTATTTGGTTCTGAGTAAAACTTACTCGCTTGATTAAAAAATAGATCAACTTTCATATGTAATAATAAAATCTCGGACCGAGAAAGACTAGAAATTGGGTTCGAGTCTGAGGAGTGAAGACAGCCACCTGGTGAAATGGCCATTGTTTTCATATAATAACCTTGACGTAGGTGTGAGAGAGAGTGGAGGGACCACGATGGAGAATGAGAATGGCTACTTTTCTTTTTAACCTCAACTGTGTTTGTGTGTGTCATCATGTTGTCTGGTTTGAAGTGTTGGTTGTGGCCTATGGGCGCTCACAATTTAGTCCAGATCTCCTATACAAGAGAATTCTGTCCATGTTTATTGCAATCATACATGAAGAACATCTCATCCTCTGCATAATATTATATAAGAGGAGATGTTCCCAATTCACAGGAGATAGTATATTATAAGTAGGTATGAATAGAATTCTCGTGGACAGGAAATCCGGAATCCTCACAATTGTAGAAAGTTTTTTTCTATGAAATATTTTATGCTGACACATGGATACTCATACTGATACAAGATGAGTTTGAGAGGACTGACGAGCCAAAAAGACTGAAGAAGGGACGGACCCTCTCACTCGCTCAACGAACCGCCGCGCCAACTCTGGCCTTTACATATTACCAAAGGCCGCTCTGCCTCAGCCTCACCAGTCACCACACCACAGCTTAAAGTTGGAAGGTAGTAGGTGTATGCATACACAGAACTACGGATCATGTATTGATTCAGTAAAGACTCCTCAGACAGATTCACTGATCCCCACATTGAAACCCTCGAATTCAAACCCACTGGAACCTGGGCCAGTACTTCTATTTTCACAGGATCATTTAAGTAATTGCATAGTAATAGTATTTCAAAATATGCAAGCCGGGAAATTCCTTACTCTTTAAACAGGTCCACTGAACTGAATGACTTATCCTTTTATACTTGTAGGGATATTATAATAAAATATTGAACCATTTTGAGAGTCTGGATCTTTTTTCCTCAGTGTTCTTCATACCAACTTCACAGCATGTCTTAGACACACATTGAGAATATTTTCCATACTTGTATGTTATTATTTATGGGAGATGTTCTCAATGCACGGTGGGATGTGACTGTGAGGAGTGCTCTGTGAAGAGTAAATTCTAATTCATATTTTGAAGGTATATCATTCAAGCAACTTCAGCCTCGGTCATTACAATTACATAACCAAACCCGGATCTCCTGCCCACGTCTACCCACATTACATCACAACCACACATGAGAACATCTCATCCTCCTACATACTATTATACACGGGAAGATGTTCCCAATTCACAGAGGCAATATGTTATGGGTAGACGTGGATAGAGTTCTTGTGGGCAGGAGATTTGGAGTCCTCATAACCACCTTAGTAACTTATTCACTGAGGAACAAAGAAATAAGTCATTCAGCTCAACCAGTTAAGTGTTATCAATAGGAGTGCATCTTGGCTTGGCTCAGGTTGCCCATTTTGTTGAAATTTGAATGGGCCTAGCCCAAAAGCCTAGTTATCAAAGGGAAATGGTAAGAGAACTCTGCATTTATTAGATTGATTCAAGTGTGAAAGGATCAGATCTATCTGTATACAGCTCAATATCCCTCGTTATAATAATAGTAAAATTGTAAGAACAAGAAAATCTTAGAGATCCAGAACCAGTAATTAAGGCTCAGTTTAGGAATACAAATACAAATATGTACGGAGCAAATAAGGCCCGCCTTTTATTGAGCTGTCAATCAGAGAGAATTGAGGAACTAAGTTATCAACAAACTCGGCTCATATAAGAAGTACTTTTGAGGCCGTTCTGAATTCTGGTAAGATGGAGCGGAACTCCTATACATTGTCACATATACACATACTACCACTTCCGGGTTCCAGCCTCCAGCCCAACCACAAATTAATTTCAGTCTTTGTATTCTCAACATCTTTTGACTGGTTTAACATTTTACCCATGTTTTACTTTCACTTGTATCAACCATGATGATACATCTCTAGTTTCTGGTTCTGAACCCAAGTGACGTCTGACTTTTCAATCCACATTCAATAATCATGACATTCAGCACGTTACATTATAATGTCTGCCTACCTAATGCATTGCTTTTCTAAGCCCACAAGTGAACAATGTTTTATATAATATATTTGAACATAATTCAGAAAAAGACCAAACCACAATTTTGAGAAACATATCAGGGATTCGGGACACCCATAAAAAGCACAAGGATACAATGGAACGATTTAATTAAAATAGCATGGCTACGGTGGAAAACTCGCATAGAACTTGTTAGAACACAAATTCTGTATCTTATCTCAATTAGTCTATAAAAATAATGTATAAATACATAAATAGTTAAAGGCATACTTCAAACCAATTATAACCGACCTTCATCTGCAAAATGCACATGAACCCCACTATTATAAATTAATATGCATAATTCATCGAAAATTTAATAATACGCATGTGAATGATAAACCTGACACAACCCAAATACCACAAGACACCTGATATTGTATTATATTTTAACTAAATGTGAAACATATATGTTTAATATTTAATTATATTTAAATATAACCCAAAAAAGGATGCATAGGAACCCTGCTGCTAACTTACAAACATCCAACAATAGATATAACATACATAAGAGATTGATGGACAAGTTATCATTTGTCTGGCATAGTCCAACTAATGCATGACCAGTAAATTAGTTCCAGTTTACTGCATAAGCTTTGCTTCCATACACGATCCGTGTTCCATTACAAACAAAGATGCAGTAACTCATAACAGTACGACGAATCAAAGGCTCCAATAAGAACATGACAGACAAGTAGTCCCCATTTCCTAATAGTGGACAGAATCACTAAAAATAATATCCCGCCCTATCTGTCTTTAAGCTCCTGCTCAAACTGGACCAACTTTTCACGGATAGGTTGCAAAAATAGCCGCAAGTCTTGGATAATTCTCAGCTTATCTTGCTGCACTAGACTCTTCTCCTCGTTGAGCCTCACTTCAATCTGAAAGCAAATGATGATCAACCTAGGCTCAGTTTTACAGAGTTTCATGGCCAACCTAAAGCAGAACATGACAAAATGTGTGCTAGCATGCATTCAAACATAGACAAGTAGATTATAATAATAGGAACATATGTCGATGAAAAAGCAACATATTGTATTGATTTACCCACAAAATGTGTAAAGATCAAGGAAAAATATGTACCTGCAAGTCATCTAGCTCACCAAATGTGAACTCTGGGACATCTATATAGGCCTTGATATTTTTCTTCTCATCTTGGACCATCCACTCCCCTGATTTTCATAATCCATGTCAACAATAGCAGAGAGAAAAAAGGAAACTGAACACAACTACTTGCCTTTGACTTTCAATGTTAACTCATACGTGTAGCCTACCCTTTTCTTGTTTCGCACAGTAACCAAAAATGCCTGGTTCATAATTTGAGAAATCACCATCAGTCACCCAAAAAGAGGCAATAATAGAGCATTAGTGTTATATCTTGCATATTCTTGATGAACCGGTTTTTTTATATATAAATGCAAACGTTAAGCAAGAAGACCTTTAGCATTTCTTCATCTGCAAGAAATTATCAACACCAAAACACAGAAGCAAAGGGCTTCTTTCTGAATAGACCAAGACAAAGCATCAACCAAGACAAATACATCAGATCAGTAAACAACTCATGTACTTGCTTTAACTTCCACTGTTTCATAAAGGATCTTTCCAATAAAATATAAATGAATTTCTTACAACCTGCTTACATTGACGTTATAAAGAAGCAAGGTACTAAGACAGCTTGTCAAAATAATTAATCAACAAATTTGCTAAGGTGCAACAACTTATATAGTATGTTTATGTATACTCAGACCACATAAACATATTGGACCAAGGCCAAAGTATGCGCTTGAGATTTAGAGTGAGGGATGCATCTGGGAAGCCACAGGGTACTTGCACAAGAGTGAGCCTCTCTCTCTCTCTCTCTCTCTCTCTCTTCTTTGTATAGATCAGAGCTTGATTTACCCATGGTGAGCATCAGCGGCAACCAATAATAAAAAACAAGAAAACCCTCCTTTTCTGAAGTCGATAAATGAGTTCCACATCTCATCCACTTGCAGAAGCATCTCGATTCCATCCAAACTACAATTGATACCAGGCTCAAACAGCTCAGCACTAATAACACCCCCTGAACATAGTTTTCAAGGCGCCAAGGCGAGGCTAGGCAACAGGGGGGTGCCTTGTCGCCTAGGCGATGAATTTTTTTCAAGTAAAACAATATATCCTAGGGTAGTTCCCTAGATTCCATAACCACCTTTCCTTGATAATTATTCATAATTTTCATAAGAGAAGTATCAATTTCATGTTTAAGTCTAGAAAATCAACATTTTATGAGAAGAAAAAGAACAAAGAAAAGAAAATTCAAAAAATATAGGGGCTGAACCCCTGCTTTTGTTATAGAAAAGAAGAAAAGGTGGAAGAAGAAGATGTGGAAGAAGAAAATGTGTTGATTAGACAAAATTTTAAGTTCTTCCCTTGCTTATTGGTTCAGGTTTTGAAATTTTTGAGGGTTCAATCAAGGATCAAAATTTCAATACGATATGCCCCATATGGGGTGTACTGTATTGTACCTTTGGGGTCCCGATACCTGTTTACAGGTGTTTTCGGGGACCCATTTTTTAAATAATATATATTTAAAAATGAAATTGAAAAGCAAAGAAATAAAAAAGAAATAGGGGGAGTATCAATATAAGTACTGATACACATCTGCCAGCACACAGAGGTGTATCGATACTTTGAACCATGGGTTCAATACAGCAGTTAGCAATGTTTGTATTGATTAAACCCTAACAAAATAAGAAAATAATAAAATGCAATTAGTATATAAACCCATAAAACGAATATTCTAGTTTAATAATGTCTATTTTATAATTAAAATGTCAAAAAATTAAAAATATAAAGGTATTTTACAACCCAGTGCACAAAACTGCTTGGCAACTGGGCAAGGCAAGCCTCCAAGGGTGCCTTGTCGCCTAGGCATCGCCTTGACAACTATGCTCCCGAACTTCCTCATTAGCATCCACAAGTAGTTCCTGCAATGGATGCTTGTGCTTCTGAGTCGCTGATTCCTGATTCTGCCAACTCACTGGTGGGAAATAAGGTACAAGATTCCTAGCTATGCAGCAGGGTGTTGAAGAACTCACACTCGGAGCTTGAGCCCCTCTGTTCCACGAGAAACCAGGGTTTACACAAATACATTGTGTCTCATCTAGCCGACATTGCCAAACTCCATGAAGAAGCTCCTGTGGTGCTACAGCGTGTGTTCAAACTTGACCAAACTTGTATCGGACCACATTGGGCTGTTTTTATCTTCAGGAAAGAAAGCACAGTTTGATTGGGAAAGAAAAACAGGGATGTGTGGTTAACAGATTAAAATGGAGGCCTACTTTGGTGGTGGCCATGCTGCAACTGGTTTAGGTTTCTGTTTATGGTGTGTGATTAACAGATTGAAATGTGGAAAAAGGTGGATGGTGTTAATGACAGGGGGAATGGGTGGTGACAGGTGAGAAACTAAGGGTGGTTTCATGTTGTGAGGACCACAGAAAGGGAGAGAGATGTGCAAACTTACATGCCAAACATAATCACAAAGGGACAAAATTGGAATCAAGAGAAAGTATATGATGCTTGAGATTATCACCTGTAACGGCCCTGGACATTTTACTAATGGAGGGCCTATTTGTGTCAAGTGCTGCCACCTAGGTATATTTAAGCAGTTCAGTTGAACAACAAGGTATATTTACCTTTATCAAATCCATAGAAAACCGGTTTGCTACCAGCCATATCAGACCCATACATCATTCCATGACCAGTACATCCCATTTGACTATCATAACAATCTAATCACAAGACAAGTCAAGCTTTAGGGAGCAAAACACGTTCCAACCAAGGAACAACTACACCACAAAATGAGTATGGCAAGCAGGAAGAGGATACTGAAATATATATATATATATATATGGATGAGCAATACCACAAAATAAGTCAAACAATGAGCATATTTTAGGAGACTCAAGGATAGGACCAACAACTGCAAAATACGGAAATTATGACAAAGATGATTTTGCCATGTGAAATGAAGACCATGCAACAAGATGCAAGGATTAAATTGCATGTGCCAAAAGCCCCCATGGTGGGTCAAGGTAGTTAGTCAATGTATTCACATTTGCAACAACACAATTGAAGCAACTAAAGTCTTATACAGCATTGTAGTAATAGATGTACGTCAAAAGAACTCACATCACCCACACATTTTGTTACTTCTGCAATTTCTGCTTTGCCACTAGAGAATTCCAATGAGCACACAGCAGCAAGCAATTCCTGTAAATATATTCGAACATTAGATGGCAAATGCAGGAATAAATTATGAGGCAACATTTGGTAGTTTGGAATCTACAGTTTGAAATAGAATTCACACTTTGTCAAGGTGACTAGGCAATTCTAGGTGAAGATGACTAACTAGTTACCTAGACAATAAGCATTTTATAAAATAACAAATTAAATTTTAGGTTAGTTCCTAGTTTTACATACCAGTCTTCAGGCATATTACTTGAAAAAAAAGCAATTATCTTTATTAAGAACATTAAATTTCCTCTCAAAACATGGCAAATCATCATATCTAAAAGATAATAGTATTTTTAAATATATTGATTTCAATACTTTCAAAAATAGCATTAGTATGATAAGTATTTAAAAGAGCATTTTCATACAAGGTTCAAAGTATCGATACGTATCGGCCGATACGTATCGTGCCAGTGGCTTCCCGATACGCCCCTACAAGGGGTGTATCAGGGTTCTGACCAGTTCGGGGGGTAGAGGAGCCTTAAACCGGCCCCCCTGAACCGGTTTTGAAAAAAATAAAAAAAAAAAGCCTAAAAAACACTATCGATATTGCCCGATGCGCCCCTACCAGCGTATCGGGCGTATTGATATTTTTAACCTTATCAAATTAGCAATTAAAACATGCTGTAATTTTAAATAATAAAAATCTTAGATAAAGGTTGGATATGTTTTTTGTTTAAGATAGTGAGTGAGTGTCTATGAGTGAGTGAGTGAATGAGAGAGAAAGTACATGAATAACAAAAAAGAAATTATCTTATCTCAATCTCTCCTTTTTTTTTCTTTCTCTTCTCAATTAGATGCATCATAGTAATGATATTATAATAAGATGCCCATCTTGTGACTTTTGTTGCCTAGGCAGGTGCCTAGTTGCTTTAAGCAAAGTTCAAAGTTTCAATATGATACGCCCCGTATCAGGCGTATCATATCATATCTTTGGGGGTCCGATACACCTGCTTACAGGTGTTTCAGGACCCCACTCTTTTTTAATGAAAAATATGTTTAAATATCTTCCCAAAAACCAAATTTTGAAAAAAGAAATAAAAAAAAGTATTTCCACATGTATCTAAGTACCGATACACCTCTGCCAATACACAGAAGCGTATCAATACTTCAAACCATGGCTTCAAGTCAAGGTCAATGATCAATGTATCAGTATCAGAACAACAGATATGAAAAAACTTGGATACGGTAGGGAAATGCATACAAATCACATAAATACACTAATAACACTAAATCTAAAGCTGGATCATCTATGAATATGGTATAAACACATGAGAAATGCACATTTTATTTATTTATTGATAAAGCTAAGCATTACCATTCATCCAAAAAACTGTTATACAGATGAGATAGATTAGCGGGAGGGGAATCAAAAAAGGCAACCTCCCTATTTAAAGTTTGGGCCCTCTTAGCAGTTTAATGGGCCATATCATTCCTCATTCAAGGAATATACTTAAATTTTATCATGTAATTTACAGAACCAAAAGATATATAGTCCACTAATAGCACAAATCTGGGTTGACCCCCAGATCCCCAGAGTTCAGAATATTCACAACAAACAAACTATCAAGACAATAGAACATGTACACATCATGGTTTTCAAAACCGGACCGGACCGGACGGTCGAACTGGGAAAACAGGGAACCGGTCAAGTGATCGGTTCTGTTTTCCCCAAAAACCGGATTTCCCCCCAAAACCGTTGATTTTGGTCAGCGAACCGCTGAACCAGGCGGTTAACCGTTCGAACAGTTTTGACCGTTTTTTACTTTTTTGAATTTTTTTATTTTTTTTGTCAGAACGGGCCAAGCGTTCAGTTCTAACAGTCGGACCGTTTGACCTGATAACTGGACCCCTGACCGGTTCAGTCATCGGGTTGGTTTTAAAAACCATGGTACACATCATACAATAATTATCACTTTATTTCATTTTTTTATAATTACAACTCTATTTAAGTTTTTTATAATTGTAACTCTTTCGGTTTTTATAATTATAATTTTCAATTTTTTTAAAATTTTGGGAAATTTTTATTTGTTTAGTATTTTTATATAAATAACAGCTCTATTGTTTTTCATATAATAAATATGTTCTAAATTTTTACATATAATTGTAAAATAAAACATACAAATCATTTAAGGTAGACAAAATAAATTATTTTTATCATCATCCATGCCTTATCCCAACTATACAAGGGAAATTATTTTTATATTTTTCAATTTTTTATTGAAGTCCAAAACAGTTCAAAAGCGATCATATACAGAACTTTGAAATTGGGCATCAATATGCTTCTATATCAATGCGTATCGAATCGTATCCACCAATGTGGCACAATACAGCCCAACATGGAGGCATATTATACCACTACGCACGACTAGTTGACACAAACCCATTTGTGGCTAAAACAACCTGGTTCTTATTAAATTTTTGGGAAAAATTAAATCTTAAATTATTTATTTGTTTTTATAATTATAATTTTCAATTTGTATTGAAGTCCAAAAGCTGTCAATATACAAAGTTGTGAGATAAGACACCAATACACTTCTGTATCGGTATGTATTGGGCTCTATCCACCGATACGGCACCATACAGCCTGATACGGAGGTGAATCATACCAGTATGCATGGCTGGTGCAATAGAAACCCAGTCGTGGCAGATCCCATATCCATAGTCACGGATACCAATATGATATGCACCATATTGGGAGTATACGGTGGCAGATCCCATATCCATAGTCATGGATACCAATACAATATACGCATTCAGGCAAGGCACCCAACTAAGGACACCTAGTTGCCTAGATGACACTTTGACAACTATGACAAAATGTTGGCATAAAATACAGTATTCCAACTCTACTAACTACTTTTTTTTATCAATAAACTCTACTAACTACTGAAGTTAGCAGTATGCATCAACACATTCAAAAATGAATTACAAGATACAAGTTGCTAAATATCCATGGAACTACTTAACAAGTTGCTAAAAAAAGTGGTTATCACACCTGCCTATCCTGTTAAATGTCCATTCTTCATAACATAGTTTCAGGCAAACATGATGCAAACTAATCTTAAGTTGTAGGAGTACCTTCATCCTATTACTTGCCCATGAACTAAGGTTCTTCTCCTCCCAGGTTCCAGCCTGTTAATAAAATAAAAATGATTGCCTATAAAAACATTCAACTCAGAAGACAAAAGGAAATAAAAAAGAAACAATAAAGAACAGTCAAAGACAATCAATAAAAAAAGCCAACCATCCCTTCTTGAATATGATTTCCGAAGCCAAACATTAAATGGTTACCATAACTCTGAAAAAAGTAAACCACTGAAACATCTTAATTCTGATGTACAAAGTACACATATACAAAAATTTACTCATCAGAAACCATAAGTTGTACAACCTAATCTTAAAATAAGAAAGTGTGTGGTTGAAAAAAGGAGAAGGGGTTTTATCACAATTCAGAAATGATTTCAGAAGACAAATGCAAATTCAGACCTCTTGAACCTTTCCTTAGACCAAGAATCAACTGTCTCCTCTTGTATCGCAGATATACCTGCCGATAATAACTTGACCCTCAACCTTAGAAAGACCCCTAAGGGACACAGATTTCAGACCTCTTGAACCTCTTTCATACCATTAAAGAAGTCTACACTTCCCCTCATCCCATTGACACCTGAGTATGGACCCTCAACCCAAATGGTGATTTCTCTTCCAAATCTATGTTCAAGGCTCTAACTGCAGGTGAACAGAGTTCCTCTTTCCCTTTCAAGATCTGGAGCAGTCATATTCTGCTAAGAGTTTGCTTCTTTGTTTGGGAAGCGTGCATACAGAGAATAAATACTTGTGACCTTCTTTAGAAAAAAAAGTCGGGGAAGATCATATATTTCTCCTGATGCTTGTGTGCTTTGCCTAAGAGAATGTGAATCAGTTGATCACCTACTTATTACTTGTGACCTTCTTCAGAAAAGAAATCTGGGAAGATCACATATTTCTCCTCATGCTTGTGTGCTTTGCCTAAGAGAATGTGAATCAGTTGATAACCTACTTATTCATTGCAATTTCTCACAAAATAGTTGGTGTTATTTCTTAAATCTGACTGGATACAGTTGGGTCTTTCCAAAGCACATTCAAGAGTTCCTCCATCAGTGGCATGGTTCAGGCCTGAGCAGAAGAGGTTAAGTGTACTGGCAAACTGTGTTACATGCAGTATTGTGGGGAATTTGGGAGGAAAGAAACAGGCACTTATTTGACAACAAAATCAGATCTCTTGAAGAACTAATCTCAGATATCTCCTTTGATTGTAATTTCTGGACTGTTAATTCTGAGCTGTTCCAAGGACTCTCTCTCAATGACCTTAACAGAAATATCCAAACGATCTTGTTTCTTCCAACCCACCCTCAACCAATCCAGAGACTACAGATATCCCATAATGAAGGAGGGATGACTTTAAACTTTGATGGAAGTGCTGCAGACAATCCTGGTGTAACTGGGATAGGGGGTATTTTGAGGGATGATCTGGGTAATATCTGTTGGGTTTTTAGTGGCCCAATAGGTAATGCTGATTCAACAAAGGCTGAAGTTATGGATGCTCTCACTGGAATCAGAATAATAAAAAGATTGGGCATTCAGAACTTATCCATTGTAGGAGATTCTGCTAATACTATCAAATGGCTGAAGGACAAGGAGGGGGGCCCTTGGAGGTTGAGTCATTATCTGGCTGAGGCAAGAGACTCCTTGGAAAATATAAACGCAAGCCTGCGGTGGATACCGAGGGAGTGGAATCATATTGCAGATGGATTAGCTAAAATTGGAGCAAGACTATAAAATCTGTACAGCAATAGGCTTCCCCCCTTGAAATTTTTCTTTTTTGCTGTTTGAGTTTTCTTTCCTCAAGTACTTCCTGCTGTTTTTAATGAAATCTGGTTAACCTTTTCTTAAAAAAAGTGCAAATTCAAGTAAGATGGGTTAGGAGGTCCTCTAATGGGTTGGCAGATGGACTGGCTAAGCAAGGAGTAGACAGGCATCATTTGTTTTCGGCTCAATGTTAATGGGGTGGTGGAATTCTTTGCTGTATAAGGTTTTATGTCTAACAACTTGTTGTATTCTTTTCCTTTTAAAGCTTTAATAAAATTCTTTGAGTTTCTGATCAAAAAATAATACTAATAAGAAAGTTTGTGTCACTAAACGCTTAATCTCAAGTAAAAAATTATGGAATGCAGATGCAGATTCTATGAAGTGGAAAGGAAGCTGGTTTCTTATTTGTCATTACTCTGTCCTTAGGTATGCATTCACTTCCTAGATCTCTTCAAGGAGTCCTAACTCCTTATAACACTATAGTCCAGCAAAGGAAAAAATAAAATAAAGGAAGAAAAGAGAGAAGAAAAGGAAAAGAGAAGAGGAGGAAGAAGGGAAGAAGGGAAGATGGGTTTTATTCCAAAAGTTGCAGCTGGCAGCACCTATGTTGGTATTTATACTTAGGGCGACAGTTTATAACAAATAGAAAGGCCAAATGCCAGAAATACCCCTACACTAGTAACATAACATAATACAACACTCCCCCCTCAAGTTGGAGCACATATGTCAATTATGCCCAACTTGTCACACAACTCATTATGTCGTACATAGTGAAAACCCTTTGTAAGGATATCTACTAGTTGTTCCTTGGTCCTGTCATGAAAAAATAGGTTGGTCACTTAATGGCTGTCTTGTTGTCACAGTAAGGGGACATTGGACCATCAATAGAGAAGCCCAAGTCACCAATCAAACTATTTAGCAAGAGCACTTCAGCAACTCCATGAACCATAGCCCTATACTCAGCATCAACACTAGATTTGGCCACTAAATTTGCTTTTTGCTCCTCCAAGTGACTAAATTTCCACCAACAAAAGCTCCACTAGTCAATTTCCTATCATCAATTGTGCTAGCCCAATTTGCATCTGTGTAAACTTCCACTTTTATATGGCCATATTTCTTGAATAATACGCCAATCCCTGTATACTTCAGATATTTGAGAACCCTCTCTACTGCCTCCAAATGGGAGATTCTTGGAGCATGCATAAACTAACTGAGGACACCAGCAGCATATGCTATATCTGGCCAACTCATTGATAAGTAGAGAAGTCTTCCTACCAACCTTTGAAACTTCTTGACATCTGTCACAGGCTCTCCAATACAATCATCAAGTCTATGGTTTTCATCAATAGGAGAATTTGCAGGCTTTGCTCCCAACTTTCTTGTATCTTGTAAGAGATCTAGAAGCCTTCTCTCATTTCTTCATGGCCAATCAAAGGCTGTTGTAAGCATGGTATAATCATTTGGAACCTTTATTTTCGCTTTGTAGTGAGGAGTCTGGAAAGACAGAAAAAAGCAGGGTTTTCTATAGGAAAAATTCATAAACCAGTGTATTAATTGGGAGAATTCATAAACCAAGAGACTGAATTACTTTTTTTTCTGCAAGTCCACAACTAAAATCTGGGATCATTTCTTCAAAGGTGTCCCATTATTTTGGTGCTATCCAGCTTCGGTTAAGGACCTGCTAGTAGGGTAGCAAGTGCAGGGTATGTCTAAGAAAGGTGGGCCTGTTGGACAGTAGTGCCTTTGGCCATGGTTTAGACAACTTAGCAGAAAACAAATTCAGAAGAAGTTGTAATCAATTTAGCAATTGCAATGTTAAGTAGATGGCTGGTAATTCATAGATGCTTCAGTGGAGATGACTTTTCTTCACCTTTTTATAAAGAGGACCATATATACTTTTATTTTGATTCAATACAAGCTTACTTTACCTTCTATAATAATACAATTCACAATATTATCCAGAATTTTTCTATCAGAAACTATTAGAACTTTTACTAGTGGAAAATAATGGTATACAAGAAATATGTATCTAGAATGCCATGGATACTTAGGCCAGCCCCTTATTCTTAGTCCATTGATCCCTCTTTCGTAACTGTCAAGCCAATGCCTAGATGAATAAGCAGTTTCTGGTTGTCAATCAACCATTAGCCATGGGTAAAATACAAAAGGCACTCACTGAGAGTGTAAGTACATGTAGTTCTTTATCACCCCAATTACATTGCATATATCAAAATAAAGCCACAACCGCAAATCTAACAACACGTAGAATCTCCCAAGACCTTCGATGGGCTTAATAACCATCGCAAACTTACGATGAGCTTAACAACCATCGCGAACTTGCGATGAGCTTAAAAGCTACCCGAGATCTGTGATAAGCATGGAAGGCCATCCAAGACTTGTGATGAGCATAAAACACTTCTTGGGACTCACAGTAAACAATGGTCGTTGCCCGAGACTTGCGATAACATCGCCAGTCAGATCTTGTCCTTTAACACGTAGCCACTAGGAAACTCGTAAGGGGACGTAGCCTACAATTGCCACATGAGAATCCTTAAGAGAAAGGAAACTTTGTCTTTGAAGGATCTCGCTAGGCATGTGGTGAAATCCCAATGGTGCTCCCTTAATAGATGACATAAAGATCCCCTTTCCTAATAGGAAAGGTCCCCTTTTAGATCCTTTTACTTACAGCCTTGGGGTCCTCTCTATGAAAGGAGGGACAACTATCCTTCCATGTCAGACTACCATGTAGCCCTAACCTTAGGTTTTTCAGAAGATCCCTCCTTCTTCTTCTTCCTCCTTTCTTTCCCTCTCTTCCGTGCCGTTCTCTCTAGACCTTCGAGGGATTGACCAGCCAACTATCAAAGTCCATGGTGATTACAGAAAGAATACTAGGCAACAAGGCAGGTGCCTAGGCATGTAAAATGGCTAAGTGGATCCTTACATTAACCTTAATATTTTTGGGTTCACAAATATTATGTTATAAACTCATAATTAATACATTGAATCATACAATTAAACATACAAAACCCATATCTTGTTCTTTTCTCTTGTTACAATTGTTTTTAAGTATCCAAATACTTATTTGACAACTACAAGTAAATGGCACAGGGTTGAACTTTTCTGCTGCATCATACAGTAGGAGTTCATTTCAACCTTGATAATTGAATTTTAATAGGGGCCATTGCTTGGTGCAATGATGAGATATCAGGCCGACAAGCACCAGTATGCAGGTTTGAGTCTGAGTGTGACCACTTTGTGCAAAAAACAATGCCAAAGGTTAGGTCTATATCCAGTATACCTCCCTCCCCCCCCCCCAAGGTCCCAGATAGACACAACCATGATGACAGTCCTTTTCTAACATTAAGTTTCAATAAATTACATATATAATACTGAAAGAAGCAATGAAAAACCACAATGCCCACATAACCCACAGTTTATTGCCTTAAGTTTTTAATTGGTTAACCACTTAACCTAAAACTTTAACCAATCATAAAACAAAAGGCCAATTATAACCAACTTCTTACTTCTCAAGTAACTTGCATAACAATTAACAACAATACAGAAAACCACCTGCTATGTATAGCTTAAAGTTACTACCTTCAGCAGTTACATCTAAAGTTCCACACTAGATACAGTAAATGTTTCTCCTATTAGTTGCCATGTAGCAGCACAAATGAATCTTGTATAAAAAGGTCCTACAAATACTGAATACCAATAACCAATAAAACTAAAGAGAAATTCTTTTAAAATTGGCAAATGCTACGGTAAAGCTGCTGCACTGTAAAGCCTACCAGCCTCATATATCCACACACTCCCTGGTGAATTTGATAAGTTGCCCACTTGGTGCATTTACTCCCCCCCCCGGTCTTGCTATATGAGGTAGGCTTTATGGTGTAGTGCTTTACCATAGTATGAGTCCATAAAATTTTCTAATTTATCCATTCAAGAAATTCACTTCTTACAAAACCCACAAATTAAGTTCCAAACAATTCAAGCCAAAGTTTTAGAACATAATCTAAACCAAAGGAATAGTCCCTCTATTTGAAACCAAAGGAATGTCTCAAAAATCCAAAAGTTCTATAAGGAATTAGAACATAATCTAAACCACACATTGACTATTATTGACCATTATTTTAGTGATCATCATAGGAAATTGTCATTCACCAGCAAATCTTTTTTTTTCTTTTGATCAACAACCCAAAGATTAATTCATTAAATTAGAAAAAGAGAGATACAACAAGAAGTTGTGAAAAGAAACAAGAAGCCCAAAGGAGCTAAACCATCCCAAGTATTACAAATAAGCCCAAAACATAGTTTGCCTATGAACTCCTTGTTTAGCTAAACCATCAGCCATACTGCTTGCAGATCTCCTAACCCAAATCTCATAGGCCCCTGAATTGATTTGCTCTCTCCAAAGAGTGAAATGAATTCCAATGCTAGTTGCCATTATAAGAACAGCAGCCAACAAGTCAACAACTCACTATTAAAGCATTCACGTATTATTCAGCCTGTGAATCCACGGTGGCCTATAAGTATTTTGTTGAATAGGACATTAAGTTGTGACTATTTTAGGATTAAGATAAATGCATTGAATTAGCTATTCATGTCCATACAACAAAATGACTACCAATCATGGTTGTGCCTCCGTTTCTTCACTTAAAGACATCTATGGTTAGGCAACCGCCGCAATCCAGATTTAAACATGTGTAACTCTCCAATATATGATGGCTGGTGCTAAAGTGAGGACCTTCCATAAACATTGTGCTTATACATCTTCTTGTATTCGCATACATTGTGGCATTGTCATAAGGCGCAATAAAGGAAATTCTTGCATTTTATTATGGGAAATCTTATAAGCGTTTGGGGTATTTATATTCCATTACATTGTTTTGGCATTGTTGCTATTAAGACATCAAATATAAGTTTTAAAATTTAAAATGAAAATTTTCTCATCAAAATTTCAATGTTTTAGATGAAATCTAATAAAACGAAATTGGACCAGGTTTGTCATTCCAAGTGTTCTCATCTACTACTTTTCTATCACCATATTCCCTTTCAATGATTTTAAGTCTTTCCTGTCTACGTCTAATATTCTTTACATACCAAATCAAACTCAACTCATAACCCTGAGCTCATTGATCAAATATCAGATCCAATCTTAAACAACATTACAAAGAAAATAAAAGGAGGAAGACAAGAAAATAGAAGGAAGATTGTTGCTTACACTATTCCAGACCGATCCCAATGAATTAGGCTGGGTCTGCTTTGATAAATCATCCGCTGAGAGCTGGCGAGGTACGGGGAGTGGAGCAGCGTCTTTTGTTACATCCCTAACCCAATACGTGTAAGAGGACTTGTTCTCTGCTACCCCAGTCTCCATCTCCCCCACCCCTAGACCCCGAAACTAGATCAAAAGACTCCTAGAGACAGATTCTCAATTTCCAAATAAAGCCGCTGGGTTGGGAAATTGCTCGTTTGATAAATTAACAAAACCGAATTCGACCAGAATAAAGGGGATTTGAATCTGAGAAAGGCTTCAGCACTTGATGGTTTTCAACAAATGGCGATTCCCGCAAAGTTGAGTCCTTCTCTTTCCTATTCCTCAAAACTTTTGCTGTAATAAACTCAGGTCAAAAAAGACTCTGACGGAAAGGCTGCTCCTCCAAACAAATCAAACGCAGGAAATAGATAGAAACCAATGCACGACAGGTAGAGATCTTCGGTTGATTGAAGGTCTCTTTTGGGGAAATGGTTGGTGAGAGAGAGATTCGGAGAATTTGCAGAGAAGAGAGAAGGTTTTCTTTTTTTCAAGCTAAGAGGAGAGAAATGGAACAAGAAAGCCTAGTGAGACGAATTTCCGAGAAGCGGGGGAAGGTTGCAGAAGATTTGACCAAACATTTGGAACTCGTGGTTTAATGGAGACCCTTCGCGAACCTTCCACGTCCTTCTCAGCCCTGCCTCTAGGTTTTACATGTTAACGGTATTTTTAATTCGAGAAAGTTCTTTAAACCTCCCTTCTATTTTTCTTACAAATACTTAAAACCTCCGAATTATTTTAATAATTGTAAAACATTTCATTAAATATAATGCAACCACCCCTCCCGTTAACTATCTCGACAGAAGACATTTTGGGAAGACATTGACACAATGATTTAAATTTTGGGAAATTGTCTAAAATTCATCAATTTTTAATATTTTTTTTAAATTCACTACAATTTTTAAAAATGTCTAAAACTCTGTTAGTAAGTTTTTATTTTTCAAAACTCACCTTCCATTAGTGCACCATTAAAACTTCTTAACAGAGGTGTCCATATCAGCATAAATAACAATTTTTATTACTAAATTACCCTTGAACGGTGAATTGGAGGAAAATGGTCTGTTTTAGTTTTCAAATTTCTTGTTTTTTTTTTGCATTTTAGTGTTTTGTTATAATTTCCAATATTTTTTATAATTTCTATTGTTTTACATTTTTCTATTTTCTACAATCTATAAATTTTCCTGTATTTTTGTTATTTATTTACAATTTCTGTGTTTTATTATAATTTTTGGTGTTTTTTCTAAAATTTTTATTTTCTAATTTTGTTTTTCAATTGCTATAGTTTCTATAATTTAAAAATATTTTTTTTATTTTGTTTGCAATTTCTATAAGTTTTTATATTTTTTGTAATTTCTATGTTTTCATGTATTTTATATTTGAAAATATTTTTTGAATGTTTTCCTTTTTCATATCTAAATATTAAAATGGTAATATATTAACACTCGTTAATTTATTTTGTATATATTTTATATTTTTCTATAAAGGTTAAAATGGTAATATATTAACACTCATTAGTCTGTATAACATGAAGTTAGTGACATAGTGAGTTTAAGAAAAATGATGAAAACTCATGATGAGTTTTAAACAATTTCCCTTAAATTTTTAAAGGGTAAAAGACTTAAACCTCTCGAGGTTTTTTCTTAAATACTAAAACATCCTTTATATTTTAAATTAGACTAACACCTCCCCTAAGGTGATGTCATCAGACAAGAACCTCCCCTCCTTTAACACTCCATCCACATCCCCTTTGAACATGACGACATGTATTGGTTAATTTTTTTTTTTTAAATCCAATTTTGCTCTTTATTGTTGTACTACTTCTTTACCTGCTATAAAAACCACGATTTTCAAAAACGGTTCAGACTGGAAAAATCAAGAACTGGTCTACTTCACCCCAAAACCATTTCTTGGCCAAAAACTATTGATTTGGTCAATGAACCGTTGACCCGGGCATTCAAACCATTGACCTGGACAATGGTTTTTTGCCATTTTTATTTTTTTAAAATTTTTTTATCAGAACGGGCCATTTGTTTGATTTAAATAATCGAACCGTTTGACCTAAGAACCGAACCCTTGAACGATTCGATGTCCGATTCTTTTTTAAAAACCTTGATAAAAATCATCCTCCAAGAGTTTTCTTTTGGTAGAAGTAAACAATTTGCCCCTCTCATTTAAATTTTTTATTTTTTAAAGTAAGACCCATGCAAGTAATATGTTAGAGATTTCCATATATATTATTTAACGGAGATTCTCTCAATGGCTCAACCTAAGATCTTCCCTACCCTTAAGAAGCATACCAATCAAAAATAGGGAGAGTCTTGACAAGCCCCCGCCCCATGCGGTGCATACATCCATATACCATTTCCCTTGAGATAAAGATCGAAGATTACTCATACAGCAATTGCAAACCTCTCATTGTTTCTAGAGACAACAATTTCGACAGACATGCTTGGGTTCATATTAGTGGAATGTGACAATACTAGGAACAAACATGTCAACAAGCTCTCTAGTTTCACACAGTCAAATCTTAATTAAAGAAGTAAAAAATTGTTCTACTGTTTTTGAAAATTTGAAGAATTAACCAATTTGAAAAATGAAGGGAGGTCTCAGTATTTAGGACAAATCTCAGGGGAGCTTTAAGTCTTTTACCTATTTTTAAACTTGCACTTTTAATTAACTTTAGGTAAATTGCTGAAACCTCCTTTTAGTTTGGTAATGGCAATCATCCGATTCAATTCCTCTTTAATTTTCTAATAAAGTTGTAAATAGATCCTCTCTATTATAATCCCTAACAAACATATGAAAATGTTCAAAATGCCCATATAATTACTTTTGATCAAAATGCTTATTATCCACATATTCTCTTCATATCAATCACTACCCCAAACCCTTCTAATCTATTTCCGGAATTGATTTATTTTCCAATTTCCTTTCATGTCAATCTCTTAAGGTAAGGCCACAACTTTGAATTCTTTTTTTTTCTTATCGTTGTTCATAAAGTTTGTAGTGATTTTTCTGAAGAAACAGCCTTGGTAATAATTGCATGGGCATTTTGGACATTTTGTGCCTCTTGTTAGAAGATTCTAATAGAAGGGATCAACTTGCAAATGTGGCAAAAAGTTCAAGAAAGATAATTGCAATACCAAATTTCAGGAGAGGTTTCAGCAACGATCAAAAACTTTTGGAGAGATTTCAGCAATTTATCCAAAACTTTATCAGAATAAATATTTATTGAGTTAATGGGAAAAAAAAACGACTTGCATTGTTGGTAGAGTAAATTTCATCCATAAACCATGTTTCATAAACACAATCAGAATTTTAAAATGCATTTTCACCAATAAACCATAGTTCTAAATCTAGTAAAATCCTTATTTTTTTGTACACTATGAAAGATAGTTTTACATGGTTTTCAAAATCGAATCGGACAGGACGGTCGGACTGGAAAAACCGGGAACTGGTCTGTTTTCCCCAAAAACCAGATTTCTCCCCAAAACCGTTGATTTTGGTCAGCGAACCGCTGAACCGGGCAGTTAACCAACCTCAGGCCTCGTCCATCTCTCGTCACACCCATACTAACTTGACCGTCAGAGACTCTACCACGAGCCAATACTCGGGGCCTCTGACATTCTCTCTCTCTCTCCACAGGTCTGACCTATCAACCCTCGGCCACAGCGGTCTTCAGACTCATCAATCAGCCCTCGGATCGAAAGCTAATTTATCTTGTTGCCCTCAGCCCATCCTAGGCGGTAACAGTTCCGAAACACAATCTCCTTTTTTTTTAAACTACAAAAAGAACACTCCCCTTTATTGTTTAATTCATCGAGCAAAAAGGCCAAATTAACGCAAAACCTCTCCTAGTAGGAATACCACATGCGAGGGAGTATTCATCAATGTGAATGGTTTTGCTATCTAAAGAGGTGTTTGGTACAGTGGCATTACATATGAAACTTTCTTTTAGATGATATATGTAAGTTTCTATTTTTACTTAAAACGTCAAATTTGTTATAATTGAAATGCTATAATTGGTACAGTGGCATTTTTCTAATTGAAATGGTATTCATATATAATGGCGTAATAAATTTTTCACAATTTTGTATTAATCAACCCAAAACAACAGTGACAACAATGCCATTGTATCCCTAAAACAAGAAACAAATTTGTTGTTGTGGCAATTGTTTATTGTTTTAGAAGACAAAATGGTTCACGTTGATAACCACCCCCTGATGTAATCTAGAGGACAACAGTAATTACTGTAATTTGAAGTTTTCAACTTTCCTGTAATAGGTAAAAGGTGATTTTTCCATGCAAATATGTAGAGTGCAAAACCTTATACATGACGGTAATTGAGAGGGAGAGAGAGAAATATGGCTGAGAGGAACTGAAAATAGAGGAAAGCGAGAAGAAGAAAGGGGAAGGGAAAGAAGAAATCTTGGGGGAGAGAAATAGAGAGAGGGGGAGAGAGAGAGAGAAATATGAAGGAATATGAGGTAGAGGGGATTATCACCGCTGTTGTTCGTGTATCGTAAGGTAAGGGAAGATGAACAGTGTTTTTCTAATAGTTATTAAAGGGTAGTATGAGGATTAAAAAATATTGAAACGACGCATTTTAACTGAAGACTAATGGAAGGGGTTCTTTGTCTCACGGTCATAGTACAAGAGGGTCTTTGTCGCAAAACAAAGTACAAGGGGGTCTTTGTCACAGACCCCATAATACAAGGGGGTTTTTGTAATTTACCGTTTCTTTTTGGATTTTGAGAGTAGGAAAGTTGGTCAATGGGATTTCAATTTCAAATCTATGTGGGGTCCATCAGTCCATGGACAATTTATTGGGAGACCGACCGTTCAATACACTCTATGAATTCTTTGCCCCACTGTACAGTTGGGGTAGGTGCCAACTCAAAATTGATGCCAATACTCAGGTAGGTATTGGTGTTTTAGAGTGGGGGTGTTTGTCATTTTGAATTGTGTAAGGTTGCAATGGATTTCAGAATTCTACAGTGTGGGACAGTGTACTTTTCTGCAATGTATTTTCCCTCTCCAAGGTGGGTAAATAACTTTCCCACCTAGGGAGAAGTTGTCAATACTAAGATGGGACAAAATTCTCTTTTAATAATAAATTTTTATGGCTAAAATAGTTATTGTCTTATTTACTGAGAAATTAAAAAAAAACATGAATAAATGCACTTACTCGAGGTAAGTACCTTCCTGAAAAACGAATGAGGCTTTTGTATTAAAATTTTATGAAATAAAGGAATCAATAAAAACCCCTAAAAAATTATAAAAGCTTTAGTGATTTTCTATTTTTCCTGCCAGGATCCAGTCTCCATAATCATTTTTCTTACTAGAATCTACTTTATACCATTACCGTTTTATCGCCTAGACCTTACATCAACATTTAGTGTGCATTTGGATCGTAGGACTTAAAGCTGTGTTTGGTTTGAAGGAAAAAGTAGGGAAATGAAGGGAAAAGCAAGGAAACCTATACAAGTTTTGTAAAGATTTTCCTATATTTCTAACTGAGATTTTTTATGGGCAAATGGGAATTGGGGTCAATAGTAATAATTCTAATATATCACAAGGCCCTATTAGGCTTTTATATAAATTCTTCATATTTAACTTCTCATATAAAATTATACATCATTGTCAAAAATTAAACCCTCCTAGTAAACTAACAAACAAAAAACACTACACTAGATCACATCAAAGATTTATAAGATTTATACAAATATGTACCATAACTAAAACATGTACAGATATGTACAGCACAAATACATGGCTCACTTTGGAAGGACTAGTGCAAAACCTTGTATTTTGTATTATTTTCTTTGTATTTACACTGTATATATTTGTATTTATAATCTTTCCAAACTGAGCCTAAATGAAAATGTTAAATGATTAGTTATTAATTTGCAAGGTATCATGTACATAATTTCTATCAAAATAATTTGCTTTCTTTATCAAGAAAACATATTAAAATAAAGTGAAGAAGCTAAGCCTACCTCAACCCGACCTTGAAAAGAATAAATAAATAAGAATAATAATGGGTTAGAATTAGGGTTTGGACTAGGGTTGACCTTAACCCAACCTAACCCAGCCCCAATTCACACCCCTAGTTGGATCCATTTAAGTAGACTTTGAAAGTTAGCACTTAGCAGGTCTGAGTAGTAAGTAGCCTTGTAGAAGATGGTTATTGGTTTTATTTCTCTAATTAAAATATATCAATTCCAAATTTTATTTCTTTAAACCAGTGTTTTCAACCCACTATTGACTCAACTAATTGAACCATTCAAACTATCACTTTATCATGATTCTAGGTTCAATTCTACTAAAACCAAGAATTGGTTAGAAACTGTTGACATGATCAAAAACCATCCAACCCAATTTATTAAACCATTGGCCCATACAACCTGGTGACCAGGTTGCGAGTTGCAAATTAAATATGTATGCAAACTTCCAGAAGTTATAACATTGCACTCCAACATCCAATTGAGATGATCTTTTTTTCATGGTATTTTCACAAAAAAAAAAAACTTTTTTGCCTCAAATTACAAATTTTAACATTTTTTCAAATAAAAAATTAAAAATTGAACTAAAAGCATAAAATAATAAGCATAGAATTATCTATATATATATATATATATATATTAAAATGATTACATGGCATGATCTAACTCTAACCCATTTGACCCAAATGACCAAACCGGTGACCCGAAGGCAAAAATGGTTTGGCCTCCAGGTCGGTTTTCAAAACATTGCTACTGATTCCCATGAATCTGAATAAATTGAATGTACATATTGCGAAGGAAATTGAAAGGAAATGTTTTCCGTGGGGCAAAAGAAAAAGAAAAAGAAACAGAAAACGACAGGAAAGAAAAGAAATATAGACAACCCCTTAAAGCATCTTATTCTGCGGGGTTAAGAAATCAAATATTGCTGTAAATTTTTTGTTCTCTTCTTATTCTTCAGCTTCCTAAAGGCACAGGATTCTATCTGCCTGATTCTTTCTCTACTCACACCCATCAACTCACCAATCTCTTGCAGGGTCTTCATTCTTCCATCCTCCAGCCCGAATCGCCACCTAATTACTTGTTTTTCCCTTGGGTTAAGACTGTCTAACACCTTCTCCAGGTCTTGTTTCATGAATTTCTTCATTAGCAATTCTTCAGTCGTTTCTGCATCTGGATCTGCAATCACTTCCTGATAATAGAGAGAAGTCTCCCATTAATAATCAAAAGAGGAATCTCTTATGAAGAAAAATATATAAACAAAAACGAAAAGACCAAAAAAGGGACATACAGAAGGTTTTAGGTTCTGGTTGATCCCAATTTTCTGGTCAAGAGATCTTGGAGCTTTAGGGGTAAGAAGCACAGCTGTGAGCCTCTTCATCGACAACCCCGTTGCCTCAGCAACTTCTTCATTATCAGGATGTCTTCCATTCTCACTATAAAGTTGTTTCCTAGCCTCCCTTACTCGATACGTTGCCTCAACCATGTGAAACTGTTCCAAGGATATTCAAAAATATGATTGGAGAATATAATGTAGCAGAAAATATCAAAAATGCAGTCACAATTTAATAATTGTAAAAAGTGGCACCCAAAATCTTTTTAGTTTTTTTTTTGCACCAAAAAAGGAACAATCTAATTTTGTTTTTAAAATGTTGAAGACTTACTGGTAAGCGAATTGTCCTGGACTGGTCTGAAAGAGACTTCCTAACTGCCTGTTTAATCCACCAGTGTGCATAGGTTGAGAATTTAAAACCCTTTGAAGCATCGAACTTCTCTGCACCCCTTACAAGTCCTCGACATCCTTCCTGTGAAAGGTTTAATATCCAAAAGGGTTGAAGCAAATGAACTGGGGGTTGTAAACTTGTAGAACATGTTTTACTACAATTTAATTATTACTATAATATCCAGATATGGCAAGGATATGGCTAGACAGTGTCAGGCAGATTTCAGGAATCTAGGTGGCACCATGTAGAAGTATAAAAGGGGATGAGTACCTGAACAAGATCCTGAAGGTTCATTCCAGCTCCCTGATAATTTTTTGCAATAGAAATAACAAGTCGTATGTTGCTTTTGATCATTTTGTCTTTGCAAAGAATGCCATAGTTGAGGCGCTTCCTCAATGTCTTCTGGTCAATTCCAGCAGCAGCTGCCCATTGAGCAAAAGTGGGTTGACCTCCGTATCGTTCTGCAAGCTCTTCATAAAGCTTTTCTAGCTTCAATAAGTCCTATACGATATAAATCACAGAAGACATTATTAGCCAGACAAGTGTGGAAATTGAAAAAAAAAAAAAAGAAACTCCACAGTTCACATAAATATAAAAATTTCTCGTAAAAAAATCAAAAGCATTTTCTAGCCACCATGCCACTGGAATAGATCTGATTCAAAGTAGGGCAATAACTAAACATTTCCTCTCTCCCGAATCAGAGGACTGAAAATTAGAAAACAGAGCACCTCTCATTGAGACGAAATTTTAAACTACATCACCAACAACATTACTAATTTAGTAGCTTTAAAAGAAGCCAGAACTGCCATTGAATGTGTACCACCAAGGAGAACTTTAAGAAGAAAATATGACATTGGATAAATGTAACATTGAACAAGTAAACTATTTTAAGAAGACAAGAAAATGAATTCTAGATGGTGCAATAATGACAGCATAAAGCAACAGAAGTTAAATTTCACAATATTTTGCCTTTTTATTCTACAGCCTTTGACAGGCCATAACGAAAGTCCCTTGGAGACTTGGAATGACCACCAGTGCCTTCCAAACATAAAAAAGGGCCATTACCAATGATGATCCTGACTACCTGGGATCATTGGAGTAGGGCCTAGGCTGGACACTGTTAGGGATCAATGCACATCCTTGAAGACTTAATCTAGAAGGAAGAACACCTCAGGTCACACAGGTCAATGGTTCAACCACCTGCATTGACAGGATGTTGACCAAGCCAACAGTTTTTACAATATATATTAGAGGTTGATCTGGACTGTGATTGTGACCAGATCACTGGTCCAACCAGCCAGGTCAATGATAGGTTGAAAGCACTAATATGAATAATTTGTACAAAGTGCAAAATTGAACATGAAATTCTTATTATCTATAAAAAAGGAATAGTATTTTGGATTTCTTCTTTTCTCTGTCTTTCTGTATCATTTGTATTTGATGGCAAAGGACATTCTTGAGAGTTGAGAAACATCGAAGGCTAGTTCACACCACCTGTGCATCTAAAACCAATTCTACTAGATGAGCATATTGTCATTAAGGCATATTTAAAATGGTACTTTGCATTTCTCTTCCAGAAATTAGCAATATATCTATGGTACATTGAATGCTTTAAATCCAATCCAGTTTTCTGTCCAGGTGATGGACCATTAAATGACGAGGAAGACTCACTGTGGCACCACCACTGTTGCTGTACTCTAACTTACTCTCAACAAGTATATTATTTTTTTAAATTTTAATTGTTCATTTTTCAATGATGGTCATAAAAGTCATATGTTGTATATATATTTTGCATTTTCTTTTTTATTATATAAGTTGTGCAGAATTGTATTTTTTAAGATTTTAAGATTTTCACCTGGTTAACAGACGGTCATTGGTCTTTTTTTTCTTTTTTAGAGAGAAAGTAAGGTATGAATTTATTGAGGAAACTAAAAACAGCATAACAAGCTGCTATACAGAAAAGGGGGGATGCACAGCCAATGCCCATACGACCCTAAACCCCCACCCTCTGTTTTATAAAAATATTATCATATACAAAAAAGGAATTGAGATTTCTCTCCCTACATAGTTTGTTCATAGACAGCCAGGAAAACAATTTCCCCAAGATTTTCTGAAAAACTGAGTCTACCAAGCTGCTTTGGCTTTTGAACATTCTTGAGTTTCTCTCTTGCCAGGCGCACCAAAAAACTGCTGCAGGAGTGATATTCCATGTGACCTTCCCCCTCTTGGTTAGACCCGCTACACTCCAGCTCTGTAAGAAGTCCACCACTGATTCTGGATTGCAGGTTTGCACCTCAAACACTTCCCAAATCCTTGACCAAATCTCGTGGGCAAAGTCAGTGTAGCATCAAGTATTCGAGTGGTTAACTGATTCGGCATGCCCATCGCACAACACACAATTATTGGACTCCAAAGGCATGCTCCTCCTAGTTAAGTTATCCCCGGTTAGAATTCTGTTGAGGTAGGTGGTTCACACAAAGAAGGCTACCCTTGATGGCACATTTTTGCACCAAATGTTGTTTGCTGGACAGCTGGAATGGCCTACTCCTCTGACCTGGACATGTGATTATAGAAAGATTTGACTGTAAAACTTCCAGATTTATCCCCTTTCCACAGCCTTCTATCAATGCTCCCAATCTCCACCTGAGTGCTATATAATTTGTGAAGCATTTCCACCATTGCCTCCACCTCCCAGTCATTTACGTTTCTTCTGAAACGAGGAGTCCAGATTACATTCCCTTTCTGCACCTGTAAGTGGTCTGTCACCCAAGCTTCTTTGTCTAAGCTTCTTTGTCTATTGCCAACTCATACAGGGCAGGGAAAGACTCTTTCAGTGGTCTACCTTCACACCAGGAGTCTCTCCAGAATTTCACCCGATGGCCATCACCAATTTTCAATTTTGAAGCAGATACCCTTCATAAAAGGGTCAAAAGCTTTCCTTATGCCTTTCCACACAAAGCACCCATACGTCTGATTGGGCACCCCCGGCTCCCATCCCGTGTGGCTTTGTCCATACTTCACAATTAGCACCCTTCTCCACAAACCTTCTTGGCTCTCACCGAACCTCAAAAGCCACTTTCCCAGCAAAGCTGTATTCATATCCTTCACTCTCCGAACGCCTAAACCCGCTTGGAGTTTAGGTTTGCACACCTTTTTCCAATTAACCAAATTATATTTCTTCTCACCCTTCCATCATTCCCATAAAAAATCTCTCATTTTCTTTTCAATTACATTAGCCATTCCAGCTGGAATTGAGTATAAAGAAAGAAAGAAGATAGGAATGGACGATAGAACACTCTTCAATAAAGTGACTTCCCCTCCAAAAGAAAGGTATTTAGCATTTAACAGGTTTGAGGTTAGATTGCTAATTGCATCCAGACCAAAACAGTAATGAGTGTGTCTTGGACCCCCCACCTGCTGGTTTCTTAAAACTAAACTTTGATGGGAGTAGTAGAGGGAATCCTGGACAATCAGGAATTGGGGGTGTGTTTAGGGATGAGAATGGGTTTGTTTCAGCCCTGTTCTCAGGCCCAATTGAAGTGGGTGACTCACTCAGAGCCGAGATCTATGCAGTTATAGAAGGAGTCCAGAGAGCTAAGGAGAAGAACATAAGAAAACTCATAATTGAATGGGACTCGGAGGTGGTGGTAGGGTGGCTAAATAAAGACAACAGTGGATTATGGAATTACAGCAATGAGAGGAGGAAATTTAGGTGGCTGGTTCAAGAGATGGAAGTCAAGATCAGCTGGGTGAAAAGATCAGCTAACTCTTTTGCTGATGGGTTAGCTAAACAAGGGGTGGAGAGGGAGTCAATGTTTTGGGCACAGGTGTAACCTTTTTATTTTTCTGTTCTTGGGGGCTCAAGCTTCAGATGGAAGATAAGAAAGTTTATCTTCCCCTTTGTAATTATTTCTGTTATTAATTAATGAAATGTGTTATTGATAAAAATAAAATAAAAAAAAAAACAGGTTTCAGGTTAGACCTACCTGTATTTTCTCCAGGGTGACAGGTTGAATGGTCTGACTGTTCGGGTCAACAATAAACCACTGACCTCTACATGCTTAACATACTGGTGTTGGACATGATATATACCCAATTCGACCTGTACTTGTCTCTCCCCAACAAACTACTCGCTTTACAACCGTGCCCAGAACAAAGTTTCCCTCTCCACTCCTTTCTTGGCTAAGCCATCTGCCATAGGGTTAGCATAACGCTTTACCCATTGAACCTTCACTTCCATGTCTTTTGTTATCCATTTAAATTTCTTTTTAGACTGCTATAGATCCACTTCCTCTGGTCATCACATTGCAACCAACTCACCACCAGTTTTTAAACTCCTTCCACAATTAATTTTCTAATGTTCAACAGTCTTACTCTTTGTATTCCTTCCATCACAGCCAGCACCTCTGCTCTAAGAGAGACAGAGAATCTCCTTCACCAACTGGTCCTGAATAAAGAGCCATTACATTACCTAAAATCTCTGAATACACCTCTTATGCCTGAAGGTCCTGGATTACCCATACTGCTTCCATCAAAATTGAGTTTCACGAATCCCCTGTGCAGTGGACTCCAGGTTGGATTAGTTATTAACCTACTGGATTACCCATACTGCTTCCATAAGTGCTTATGCACACTTAGCCAAGAACATAGAATTCCTTTGTCTAAGTGTGAACTAATTTGGTAAAAAATAAGTCTTGATACCTTGTTCTAACTTAGATTTAAAACTCTATACAAAATATTATATCTCCACTCAACAATACCTTGTTCCAATTATATGGGGTCAGCTACATGAATCATATTTCTTCATTCTGCTTTGTTCGGTGCTATATACGCATATTATATGTAATACCTACATCTGTAACACCATTTAGGGTCTTAGGATAGAATTAATCTCTGTTTCCCATATTTGTGTGCATCTGTATTCATTTATCGGTAACATAATATTGACAATGTACTTGCACAAAAATTCCGAAGATAGTTTTTACAGAAAATAACTATAAAATCGAAGTTCATATAGAAACTTGATGAGTAGTTGTTTCTTGAAATACTACTTTCAAGCAAATTATCTAGGCCAAACTGATAGTGAAGACAAAACCATCATCATATTACACTTAATAAAACAAAATAGAACAGATATTAGTGATTTTGACACATACTCTCTTAATATCACTTGCATATCCTTTAGGCTGTGTTTAGCTTGAAAGAAAAGGTTTGTACAGGTTTCCCTAGCTTTTCTTTCAAACCAAACACAGCCTTAATGTGAAAGCTCTGAAATCTGCCAATTCAACTGCCGATATACTTATCAGGCATGCAGTAATGAGTTAGATGTTTTACTGTTCTTTAACAGTATAGGAAACGTTAACTTGCATATGTTATGGGGAGCCCATACTTTAGACTCCTGCTGTACCTATTTTTCCCTTCATCCAGTCTTTCCATAACATTAATTAATAAACTTCAAATTTAATAATTAGAAAATATCTTCAGGAAAGATTATACCTGTATTCCTTCTGAGAACTCCAGCTCTTCAGTAGCTGTTAGAAGCCTGGAAGTGCTAGTAGTCCCTCTCAAATAACGCAAGGGGTCAGAATAGTCTACATCCTGTAAAGCAGAACGTTTTTTCCTGCTTGAAGATCCAGACTTCACAGCAACGACATTTGCAGCAACCTTTTCTGCCGCCCTTGCTCTTCTGGCTCGTCTTTCTGTTTGACGTCCTGATCTCACAGCTATGCTTTTTGAAAGCTGCATTTGTAAGAGTTTGAGTTCCTCATCTGTTGGATCCAAATAGTCAGAGTCTTCCTTTGGTCTTGATTCTGCTCCTAAAGAATGGTGCACCATGTCAACTTGTTCTATTTCATTAAGTTGAGCCGTCTCATGCCAGTAAGTATCCAACTCAGATGGAATATCTGGAGGCCACTTATCTGATTTTGAAGAAGGGTTAGTACTGACCATGAGGGCTGCATCCTTAGCAATCTCAACTGCTGCTTTTGCTAAAGCAACTGCTTCGACTGCAGCAGCAGCAATCAAGGCCTCATCACCTGTAATAAGTGGTTCTGTGGCCAAAGTTGCTTCGAATTTTGCCTGCATGTAGATAAACAGAACCAAATATTTGAAAATATTATCGTGGAGAAGATATTGATATTTTTAGTTTTCATAATGTAGTAAACATAAGAGTCCCTCACTAACAGCTCGAAAGATAAGTTTGCTATTAATCTTCACTAACCAACAAAAACTTTTGAAACTATGCCAACCAGATGATCCAAATATAACTCGTCATGAAACTTCAACCAAAACTGCATCAATTATATTCAAAACCGAGATATTGTTTGGATGGATAAACTTTTAGGACACCATGAATGGAAAGATGTTAGAGGTAATTTAATAACCTTAGCTATTGGGATGTATAACTCCATGGCCCACTGTCAAACTTGTGGACTTTGGCTTGTTGCAAAGGTTTCCTCTAGTCTAAACAGTCCCTACTATATTTTGGTTGAGATCTTGTTCTTGACCAGACAAAAAAAAAATCCCATTACCCAATATTGGTCCTGGTTATTTGGGGTCTTGGGAGGTGTGGACCTTTTTCTTTTGGTTGAAGAAATGGTGGACCTAACCTTTGTCATTTTTTACCACTCTCTAAAAATTAATGACAAAACTAAGGTTGATTAGGTTACTATAAGCTTCCCCTTTATTTATGATGAAAATTTATCCTGAACATAGCTACCAAGCTAAGCGCCTACACAACAAGGACTCAAAGGGGACCAAGGCATGGGAACTCCTGGCAGTGCTTTAAAACCCAGCCCAGAGGTTGAACTGTTTTCCTTCTGGGTCAATGGGTCAATGGTTCAGCCATCTAAGGGGTCAACCCATGATGTCATCAATATAAAAATTCAAAAAAACAAAATAATACAAAAACTTTGTTGACTGAGTCAATGGTTTTTGTAACATAGCAGATTAGAGGTTGACCCAAACCAGGATTGTCAACAGGTCACCAGTTATGAGCAAGGTCAACAAGTTGAAAATACTGCTCCTCGCTGTTCTGCAATGTGGCAAATACCTTGATTTCTAGAAGCACTGCCAGGTTGGATGCATAGGCAAGAAAAAATTAAATGCAGGTGCCTTATTGTAACATCAGTACAAGACCCTATTAACATATTATTACATTATCAGAAAACATACACCTTTACTGCAGATTAACATTCATTAAAAACAGAAGTAGCATTCAACAGGTACTGCTTAGGGATCAGGGGAGGAAGGAGTATGATTAATGCGTTCAACATCAAGTACATGCCTCCCAACCCCCTTCTTCCATGTGTCAAAAACAGGGTTTCCTTTTTTTTTTTCTTTTTCATTGTCCTCCATGCTTTCTTTTTTTCTTTTTGATTGGTTACAGGTAAACAATTTATTGATTATTGTTCTTGTGACTGAGAACTTCAATTCTAAAGAGAAGAAAGGAAATACATCAATGAGTGGAACAGACAGGACTATAATAAGGTATAAACAAAATTGGAACAGGACTGATTCCCATAAAAGAATATGTACATCAAGTGCAAGGACCTCAAGATATGGGCTAGCTTTTGCTGCCTAACTTTTTCCTTCTTTCTAAATACAAGCTGTTGTCTTGTAAGTATCCCCAGAACATATGAACCCTATTTACCCCTTGTTTAGCCATATCAGTCACAAAAATTTATGCTGATCTTTTAATGCATTAATAAGTGATTAGCAACTCCTTTTCCAGCTGCCATGTTTCTCTTGTAGCATCAACCACAAAAATTTGCTGATCTGGTGAAGTTTTTCAACCATCCACTTCCACCTTGAGATCCCCCCTCCACCGCTAGACTTCTAAAGTTAACTACTCAACCTCAGTTCCCATGATACTATGGACATTTCAGCCCTTCTAGAGTTTCCAACACCTGTAGGGCCTTAGTAAATGGCTAATGTTGAACCTTGACTATTTCGAAAGACTCCACCAATTGGGATGCAAGTCAGGTACCAAATTTGAGGAATTCACACAGCATCAGGCCCAGGCTGTCAGACCGAGCCCATTCAAATTTTTAAGAAGTCCTCAGCCCAAGCCTGCCCAGGTTGCACCTATACCCCCTTCCAATGCCTAATAATCCCAGATTACGGATGCCAGTATGCTACGCACCCTTTAAAGTTCAATTTAACCTGGTTATGGATTGGACTCCAATGCATCAAGAGAGAAGATCTAGCTGTGGATAAGTAATGCCAAGTGCTACAATCCCCTAAAAGTATCATCAGTGGAGAACAGGCAAAATCCTCTAGTGTTTTAATCCAATGTGCCACTATTTAGATACTTTCCATGATGGCATTCTTTTGGTCATTGCAAAACATTAAATATTCTAGCATTCCTCTCTTCCTGTACTGCTCACAACCCCGTTGCCCTTGGACATCTCCACATTATTTTCTCTCTTCCTTCATTATTTCTCTTCACCATATGGGGTCAGCTACATTAACAGTGGACATGGCATTAAATAGAACGAATTGGCAAAACAGGATTCATGTAGCCAACTCCATATAGTTGGGATAAAGCATGGATGATAATGATATGGGGTTAGCTACATGAATCCTGTTTTGCCAGTCCATTCTGTACAGTGCCATATCCATTGTTTATTATGAGCATCTAATTCATTTCTTACTACTTCAAACCATGCACTTTTTCAGTCTGGCCCTAGCTCTTCCATCCCCTTCAACTTGTAACAGATCACTTTTTATGGATGTTATAGATGGTCCTCCTTGGCCATGTGAAAGATGAGGACAAAGAGGCCTTGTACGTCAGCCGGTTGGTATCTCCTGCACACAAAAGGAGAACCATTCCCTAGTACATGAAACGAGCGATAGAAGATTAGTAGTGATAGTTTCTCAACTTACATAACAAAGAAAAAATGTTGGGGAAAAACAACAGAAAGGCTTTCTCTTTTGTAAGGTCTCTCATGTATTAATTTTCAAATGGAATACCTCCCAACAAAAAGCCCTTATTTTAGGTAGATAAAACTTAAAAAAATAAAAAAAAATACATAAATGAGCCAAATTATGTAAGAGTCCAAGTTCTGCCATCAGGTTTAATGTAATCCAAGAAGTCCCTTTCAAGGATTTCTGACCAGTACAAAATCTCTGGAGTTTCAAAGACCCTAAAGCTAAAATCCCAAGTAAGAAAGCATGAGATAGGTTCAGCTCTTGGGTGGATATTGAAAAAATGGCTGGAAAGCCAACTCTCAAGGCAGAACCCTGACAACAAATGTCTTCCTAGAATTTAGCCTTATTTCCAGAACAGGCATCATACCTGACAAAAATCAATAATATAGCTTTCCAAGGTGAAGTTAAAGCAGAACATGATAATCCTACATCTCATCCATTAATCGATGCCTCATGAATGTTAACACATTTTGTTTTTTTTTTTTTTATCAGCAACACAGAAAATTCAATTAATTAGACAACAAGAAGTTGTGGTGGACAAGCATTCAACTTAGACCACAAACCCAAAAACAATCCCTTAAGTTACATAACAGCCAAAGGGTAACCCAACAGAAACATTCTACTGGCTAGAATATAGCCCAAAACATAGATTGTCTTTGAACTCCTTGCTTAGCTAAACCATCAGCCATATTGTTTGCTGATCTTCTAGCCCATCTTATTTGAACCACTATGTCTTTAGAAGCCTGTTTGAAGCGCCTGAAATCATTCCTTTACTGCCAAATTATTCCTCCACCTTTCCTCAGCCAGTTTACATGTTAAACATTTTGTTTTATCAGTAACAAAATGCCCCATCAATCCTGCATCTCCATTAACCAATGCTCCATGAATTTTGTATCTCATCCTTTCACAGACCACCTCACAAATAAAGGAGGCTTTGGAAGGAACAAAGGAGGGCCAAAGCCCTTCAACCGGGAAGGGGAAGGTCATGGAACCAGCAACTAATCTATGGTACAAGGAATTGGTCATAAAAGTGCCCAAGGAGGCAAGTGACCAAATTCTTCTATTGGGGAGGGAAGAGGATAAGAAGACATCATTCAGAGAACTCAAAAGGGAGGAGACTTCATTTGCTTCAATATCATTGAGAACTCTTCAAAACTGAAAGTTAAAGGATAGACCTTGACTTCCTCTAGAGAATATCAAAAAAATCTAGGCATCCCTATCTTGAACAATCCAAAAGTGACTAGGGTAAACAAGACAAAAAGGTTGGGCACCACACCATACGTCTACAAAATTTTATTCGGTTACTGTCACCTACACTGAACCTCAAGAAAGAAAAGAACAAGGAGAAAGTTTGGACAATACCTTTCCAAGGATGTGCCAAGGAAAATTTATTCAAAGACAATCTCTACCATTGATATTCCTTATTTGCTTCTGATTGAACCTCAAGAAAAATTTATTCACCTACATTGAACCTCAAGAAAGAAAAGAACAAGGAGAAGGTTTGGACAATACCTTTCCAAGGATGTGCCAAGGAAAATTTATTCAAAGACAATCTCTACCATTGATTATCCTTGTTTGCTTCTGATTGAACCTCAAGAAAAATTTATTCACCTACATTGAACCTCAAGAAAGAAAAGAACAAGGAGAAGGTTTGGACAATACCTTTCCAAGGATGTGCCAAGGAAAATTTATTCAAAGACAATCTCTACCATTGATATTCCTTATTTGCTTCTGATTATTGAGGCCCAAAGCTTGTCTTGTTCTAGGGAGGAGCATCAAAATTATTTGCCAAGAAGAGCCAATTTTCTTTCCAAAATATGACCAAGGCCCAACCCACCCACCGCCTTAGGCTTAAAACTGTCTTCCAACTTATCAGATGCTCCCTTTTGCCACCACCTCTATCCCATAAAAAGTCCCTCTAAAGCTTCTCAATGCAGTTTCTCACTTTAAATGCAGCTTTAAAAATAGAGATAGTACATAGAAAGGTTAGAGAGAGAGAAACTCTAAATCTCTAATAAGGGTTAGCGTTAGCCTTCCCCTCCTTTAGAGAGAAAGCGCTTCCACTGATCCGACCTTCTTTCACACCTCAATAACCGGATTCCAAAAACTAATGGATTCCAAATTCCCACCCAAAGGCATGCTAAGAT